TGTGACTGGCTGCCAACTGGATTTAGCTCCATTCACCACGACTCTCTGGGCTTGGCCATCCAGCCAGTTCATGAATCCTTCCAGCCTTGGTGAGGCAAGAGCTGCCTAAACTGAGGAAGAGAGAACTGCCTTTCTCTGAGTCACAGGTGGCATCCTTGGCAGAATCAGGAGGGCTCAGAAAACTGCAGGGTGCAGAAATCCCAGCTCTGAGCCCAGACCTTGCATGGGCAGGTCATAGTTTTTACCACATGCAGCGGGTTGCATTGTCAGAAGGGTGGTGGGGTCTGCCAGCTTCGTGTCCTGGCAGCTCTTCTGTAGACTTGGCACTCCCCTCCCTAGTGCCATTGGTTCAGCCAGCAGCAGGAGAATGGTTTGAAGGTAATGGTGAGATCCGCAGACAAGGTCAGCAGCCCTCCAGCTGGGAGGAAGGAGGGAAAAACCTCAAAGGAAAGCAGGGGCTAATGCACCCGGTTACTGTGGCTCCCCAACTGCAGACAGTGCAAGGAGCTCCTCCGGGTCTGCTCATCAGAGAGCAGGTGTTGCTTAAAAAGTTGCTTAGGGGAGCCCAGAATGCAGACACGGTCTCCATAGGAGTAGGGTGAATGCTTCCTCCTTTATTCAGAGTTACAGACATATTTATACTGAGGGATGGGGTCCACGCGACATAAAAAATGCTTTCATTGGTTTAACAACATTGTCCACCGCCTCTAGATACATGCTAATTGGTTTAACACACAAACACATGTGCTATCATATGCAAGCTTTGCGATTAGAGCACATCCTGGTTAGTCTTATCAAGCTCCTTTGTTCTTATTTACAACACGTGCAAATTCCTCCTTTCAGGGCCCCAAGGACACATTGTCCTTGTCAAAGCCGGGATTGTCCGTGAGATCCCATAGTGTTTTATGGCCTTGTTGTTCAAGAAACTCCTCTACAAGCAGGTATCCCTTTATACAGCTTCCAGGCACGTCCAGGATAGACATCTACGAATCATTCTCTTGTGTAGACTGAGATGCAGTGACACTCAGCTGTGCAGGCATAATTTTATTTTACACGTACTTGGAACTAAGCTCAACCCAGTTGCACGCCAGCATAGATAAAGCGTCTGCTGCGAAGGGTCCTCCTGGAACTGGAAGGCTGGGAGCAGCCTTGTCCTTGCCTGAATTCGTTCAGCAGTGAGGTACAGGGACCCTAATGGGAAGCACTCTGCACTGGAAAGGACAACTGGGACACGTTGTTGGCTAGGACATCGGTAGCACCACCAAAAAGCAATAACTTGGCCACACATGAGCCCATAGCTGCCAGAAGAGCTGTCATCTGCCATGGTATTTAGAATAGGAGGTAACTGTTGGTTTGTATTTTTTAATAGCAGCCAGTATAGATAGCTAAAACCATGGAACACAGCAGAACCCCTCCTCTAATACCTTCCTCTCTTCCCAGATGTTGCTGTACCATTTAGATGGTGCCATTAAATGGCTGCTTGCGCACACAAGCCCTATGCCACAGCCTGTACAGAAACAGGGACGCTTTGAAAAGTGACTTCGTTCACCACTGTTTGATTCCACTCAGCTGAATGTCAGCCACGTGCCCCTCAATCTCCCCCCTCTGCGGTGGGCACAGTGCATGTTCTCCGTCGATTCTCAAGTAGCCCACCCTGGACACAGAAACACAGAGGGCATTAAAGCACCGATGAGAGG